GGAGCCATTCCTGTATTCCACCGCTGATAGGAATGGCTCCAACCTATGCGTACATTATTTTTTTTCGTTCTGGCTAAATAATTCATATACTGAGATTACAAATGAAAGAGCGATTTATTAGGTTTTTCTTATGTTGAAGTCTACAGTGCTTGCAAATGAAGCCCTCTTTTATTTCTACAGGGTTATGTAGTTTCTAAGTTTTACATAACGCAGCAACTGCATGTCACGTTTGGAAAATCACGCAATGTTGCGTGACGCTGCGACCGATGTTTTTAATTTACAGTATGCTCTGCTGGAGAAATATGGCTTGGCCGCAATCGAGGGAGATTTTTCGTGGAAAACTGATTTTCTAGGTAATTTTTCATATGAAAGACAAATCCATTTATCAGGCTTTCATCTGTTTTTAACAGATCGGTGTTTTCTTTCGCATTGATATTTCATCGTTCCGCTTCGAGACACGCGGTTAACAATACTCACAAGCAAAGAGTTAAGACATAACTTATTAACTTTTACTATTTTTATCATCCAATTAAAGGTCGGAGCCATTCCTGTATTTAGTCGCTAGTCCTTTTTCGGGGCTGTCCTGGTGTACCGGTACACGGGGGAATACCTATTGTTTTCATATCCATACATGGAGTTGTGACGCATTCGTTAATGTTTGGTTCCTTTGTGTACCGGTACACGAGGACACAACCCCTTTTTCACGTAACGTCATCAAATGCCGAAATCCAAAACTAGAGAGCCACGAGACTTTTAGGGTCTAAATTCATACCTGAGATAAAATTTTCAGCTTAACAACGTGCTTGGTTTGGAAACCAGCGCAGTTTGAAGTTCAGAGTTGTGGCGGTGAGTGACATGCAGCTTTGACCGTGTTTGTGAAAAAATATACATTTATCTTAGGGTTTTTAGTCTTTTTAGGAGTTAAAGAGTTAGGAAAAATGCTTTTGTAAATGTCTGTTTGCCTAACCGTTCGAACGGATGAATAAATTATTTGAACGGTTTGGTCAGACGTTCGGACGGATGAGTAAAGATTTCGAACGGACAGGCAAACCGTTCGAACTGGTGAATAAATTATTCGAACGGTTTGATTAGCCGTTCGAACGGATGAGTAAAAATTTCGAACGGACAGGCAAACCGTTCGAACGAGTGAATACTATTATTCGAACGGTTTGCTTAGCCGTTCAAACGGTGAGTAAAAATTTCGAACGGACGGGCAAGCCGTTCGAACGGATGAATATTATTATTGTCCGTTTTGCCTTTCACGGTCACATTTACACTAATTTCCGGCCGCCACGTTGGTGCACCACATGGCGGCTTCATACTGGTCTCTGCAAATTTGCGCAAGACATTTCTATGAATATCCGAAGTTTGGGCGGACAAACAGACCTCTGTTCTTTACCTATCTTCTATAGCGTTACATCTTCTTGATCTTATTTACTGAATATTTTTGGATTTATATTTTCTTTGCGTTACAGTGAAAACGTTCAATAACGTTAGCTCGTACTCAACCAGCGACACACCTGGCGATTTTACTCGCTGATCGTAGCAAATTTAATCGCCACCATCGGCGTATAACATCGCCAGTATCTGACACGTCAGATATCGGTGATTTTATACATCGATTGCGGAGATCGGTGAAAATCTCGCCGCACCGGACACATCTGGGGATTTTCGCCGATCGCCGCGATCCGTTTGTGTCGCCGGCTTAAACGACACCTGTAGGCTAGGTGCTGATCGAAGCACACAACTCCCCATGAATTGCAACAACGAAGTCTTGACTTGCGTTGGTCATGACATCGAGATTTTTCATTCCAAAACGAATCTCTCGTGTTTTGACAGGACCCTATCGATTCCAGTGAGATTCTTTGAAAGGTTTTCATATCAGACTGAGGAGGCAAGGTCGTAAAAAGGCTGCCGAAATCGCTTCCGCTTCCACAACACAGGTGAGACGTTTCACTGATTTGTGTGAGGCTTTTTGTAGACTGAGTGAATATTCTTATTTTGAGCTTCTCAGTTTTCTTCCATTTTTTTTTTCAACTTATGCTTATTCTCTTCGATTTCTGGCCACGAAGGCGCTGAATTACAACTGCCGAGGATTTCTAAATATTATCTGAATCTGGCGCTGGGGTGAACTGGTGCCTTGAGATACTTGTAAGCTAAGCTTAAAACTTACACCTGGTATCTATCAAGGGGAAAGAAGGAATTATTCGGAAGTCTTTCATGAAAAGTTGGAGGGATTACTTTAATTTTGTGTTAAGTGATGAGTGAAGCACTTTCGCTCTCTTTACAAAATTGAAAGTGCTTCGATCAGCGCCAATAACCAAATTAAATATGTATGTTTGTTTGTTATTATTATTTTAGACCACTTTTAAGATAAAGGCATGTTCACAAATACACCATACAGACCATCAACATTTTTTTTTACTTGGAGGCCAGAAAATTCAAAATAAACTAGTTCATTCCAAGTGACATTAGTGGATGACTTTTACCTCACTTTCTTGAGTCTTACTGGTAATATTAGCACCTGCTCATTTCTATGCTGCCACAATCTTGATTGTTAGGAGAATCAAAGTTAGCATCAAAGACAAGTCAATTTTGTGCATAAAACAATAGAAACATGAAGCAATTACAATAACAATTTGTCATACACATATACTGGTAAACCACAAATGTCAACACCTGTACAGTGTTGAAATCCATTACAACATACATCAGCATGCATTAGTGTACATATTTCTGTGTTTTCCTACAATAAATGTAACAGTTGAACTAAAAGCCATCTATACAAATATGGGCTCAGATCAAATGGAGGAAATTGATTAAAAGACATAAAATATATCTTTTATAAATTTTGACCAGTAATTCCTATTTAAAAATCAAATGAGAGAATGTTACTTTGGTTTTGTAAGATTTGTTTCTTATGAAAAAGTATTCAGCGTAAACTCACTCCTCTTGTGGAGACATGGTGGCCTTATGATTTGTGAGCTGGGCTCAGTGTCAATAGGTCTGCATTTGTAACCTGACCAGGTCATGTGTTTTGTTCTTGTGCAAAACACTTTTCTGTCACAGTGCCCCTCTCCACTCAGGAGTATAAATGGGTAGCAAAAATTAGTCAGGGAAGCCTGAAGAAATGTCAGTGGGGGGGATGGGGACCATGAGATGGACTGGCATTCCATCAAGTGGGGAATAATAAAAACTCCTAGTCGCTTCATGTGAGGAGACCAGGTTTATAAGCTCACAGGGCCTTGTGATTTTGTGTCTGTGTATCCCTCCCATTCTCAGCTGAAAGGGAAAACACATTTATTTTGCTACTGTGTAATATGTTGAACTGATATTTATCATCATTTGCAACCATCTTTTTTTCAGGCCAGGAGAACTGAAAACAGAAACTTTTTGGGAGAGGCATATTCTTACAGTTGCAATGGCTACAGCAAGAAGTCCAATCAAAGTTCCATCTGAGAATGAAGACTTACCTGAAAAGGAAAATGCACCAGAGTTTGATGAGGACACTTTAAAAGGTGATCTATGTTCAACTTAAGCTTCAGTTATTGCTAGAACTTTTTCTATTCCACTACATGTAGTTTCAAGAATGTAAGTAGATGTAGAGAAGGATATATACACTGTATGACCACTTTAAAGGGTATTTGGCCTGTCATGACTCTCTTCTATGATTACAATATGCTGTCCTTTGTGGGGATCTTTGACACAGAAATCTTTGACATTTGCTTTTCTAAAAGTTCAAAGCAAGTACACAAAATTATAATAAGTAAAGACTTTATTTGATTATCATATAACATCCATTTTGTAAGTACCATCATCATCATCATCTTCCCACTTATAATGCAGCAGTGAATTTGAAAGCTTCAACATCCCCTCCCTTCTCCTCTTATCCAAGCCAAAGGGGGGTGGGGGGAGTGGGGAGGGGGGAGATTGAACATTTGCCTGACTGGCATCAGGGAATTTGAACTAGAAGTGTCAAGACTTTCCATTAGAATGCACTTGTTATATATCATTTAATGTGGAGGTGTTTAAGGTAGATAGTTCACTTTCACCAGCAAAAGGCTCAGAAGACAAAAGTGCACAAGGTCTAGGTTTTAAAGCTTGGTCAATGTGGTTAAAGTCACAGTTGCTAATTATTTTACTTTTTACATAAAAATTGGGTGGGGCATTTGAACACATATTTTACCAGTGGGGATTGGAATTTTCCAAAAGTGACCTCCACAAGTTTAAATGTCTAGGGGTGTGCTTCAAGTTGAGTGACAGTTAATTCTCATCATCATTATTACTACTGTTTTCACCCACATTATAAGCATCATTGTAACTATTAATCTCATCTTCTTTATTATTATTCTTATCATTTATATCATAACTGTTTGTCTCTAGGTAATATTACTTCTGGTTTTTATGATTGCAACATTTGTATCTAATGAACTCATTAACTATCTAAATGCAATTAAAGCAGCTGACTTATAATTATGCTAACTCTCTCTGATTATCAGGGAGTCTCACAGAAACAGAAGGAGACTCTGAGTCTCTCATATGGGCTGCCATGAAACCCTCAAGATAAATGAGGATTTGGTTCAGTTTCTCACAGAAATATAACATTAGAACTCCAGATTTCCCATATTCAATGTTACTATGGTTATCTTAGGGTTCGTATCTTAATTTTCTTGATTGCACTTAGATTGTTTTAAAGTGCTAAAGGGATTACACTTACTTTGAAACAATAACCACAACAGCAACTGAGTCTGATTGGTTGAGCTTTTGACCAAAAAATGTCTCTCATAAATTAACTGAGTGGGGTTTGTCCTGTGAAGGGGGAGGGGGGATGCAGACATCATCTAAGCTTTTCAGGGGATGGTTGAAGTCAGGCAGGTGCAAAAGTGGCAGCTGGCACAAAAAGAAAAATCTGAAGATTTTAAATCTCCAGATCTTGGCAGCTCTGCTTTTACACTAATTAAATAGCACCACAGACTTTGATATCAATTATTTTTTATTTTTTCTTTTCAGCCACAGCTGATGTTTATAGGAATGAGGGTAATGAGTCCTTCAAGAAAAGAGATTTCATCAATGCTATTCACTTTTACACAGAAGGAATTAAAATGAACTGCAATGAGAAAGAACTAAGGGCCAAACTGTACAACAACAGGGCTATTGCACATTTTAAACTTGGTAAGATGATGAGAGCTTTTATATGCAGTTTTTTTTCCTCTTTTGAAGCTTAGAGCTGTCAGTAGTAGTTTTCTGAAAAAGGTAATAATGTTCAATGTATGCTTAAAAAGAAAATAATTCTCCAGAAAAATACATGTACCTTACCTTCGCCTCTCAAACATACAGAGAAGTAAATTCTTACCCCAGGTATCAGTGAGCATCACAAGCTTTTCCTAAAATTAATGTAAAGGTGGTAGGTTTGCCATATGTACAGCTAATCAAAGATATTTATTTTAAAAACAGGTAATCACCAGGATTCACTGAGGGATGCAGAAGCAGCCATTGAGTTAAATCCAACTTTCCTCAAGGCAATTGTGAGAGGTTAGATATGTTAGCTGTGCTATAGTAATAATAAAAAAGGAAAGTGGCACTCTGGGGTTAAATGAAGTTAAATAAAGTAAAACCTTGTCTCAATTGACCTTAATTAAGAGGTTCATGGAGACCACCCTGATGTACATTTGTATCCAGCTCTTGGCTGCTGTGTGATGACTTTCTACTATGATGAGAATGTTATTTTGAGTTGGATGAAGAACTCATTGCTAAATGCAGAGAAAATTTCAGCATGAGTATTTTAGTTTCCTTTGGCTCAATGAGTTAGGTAGTGGTGTCGGATATGTTGAGTCACTATCTAGCTCTTTTGAAAAGAAGTTAGGACTTAACTTAACTCAAAGCTGTAACAAAATTTTTCTCATTCATCAAGTACAAGTCAACTTCAAGTGCTATAATACATGTAGTAATAATGTAACTAAAGAGACAGCATGGGTAAATCTTATTATTGGTGAACTTCAAACCTTAGTTTGAGTCACTTCCTAGGAATCAATTATCAACTGATTGAGTAAATCAAATATGTTAACTCAAACTAATTGGAGACTAATTTTATATCAAATCATATTTTTTATTTTGTACTTTGATTGAAGTTGAAGTTTAACCCAGTGCTAAAAAGATTAACTGAAAAATGTACCATAATGATTACAAAAATGAACAAAAAGGGATTTCATTTTTTGGTTTTTGCATTGCATGTCTTTTATACTATCCATATCACCTAGTGAATTTGTGCAAACTGTCAGTCCCAATTTAAATGTTCTTAAAAGTTTCAATTATCAAAAACTAAACTTACTGAAACCTAAGAAGGCCTGTTTATTCATTTTCTTTTAGTGAATTTGTTTTGTTTTGTTTTCTGGTCTGTAATGATTTAGCTCTCAATGGTTTCTGGTTTTTTTCTTGGAATTGAGCTACAGTAATTAGATGCTTCTTTGTGTTGTTGCCTACAGGAGCCACTGCCTGTGTTGAACTGAAGAGATTTGAAGAAGCAATCTCTTGGTGTGATAAGGGATTAGCTGTATCCTTTCAAGGAATCTATAATTTTTAACTGTGGGTATAATGGAAATACTCCATAATTTGAGGTCTTAAGGGAGAAAATGAAGTGTATTAATTACGATGGAAACTTGTCATTGAGTGTGTGTGATTTAAAACTGTGGGAAAAGTTAATACCTCATAACTTCATAATGATATACTCTTTTTAGCCGTGACTTAGTCACCCATGCCACAACTGGTTCATTAGTTTAGTTAAAAGACTAACATTCATCCAAATTTATACATGGTAGATGGGTGGATGATCTTTAAAACAAGTCAGAAAAAGAAGCTTGGTAATGTTTTTATTTATGTTTATTTTCTGCCTTTAAATTTTTTTCCACCACTCAGAGACTCAGAAACGTTCGTCGCGTTTTCTTATGCACAAAAACAACATTTAGAGGCGCATATTTGTGTTGTAGACTCATTTCTTCTACTGGAAAACATTCGTCTGATGTTAAAGCTATCTTAATTTAAAAATCGAGCAAGTGCTTCCCAGGTTTTGGAAACAAGGGATTATATCAAGATATTTTGCTTTAAAATTTGAGGTTGCACACGGAAAAAAAACTTTTTGTGATGTGTAGATTTTGCATCATAACTGATTTTAAAACTGAATGTTGATTAAACATCTACTTTTCATGCAAGTCCTCCTAATAGGCCATTTTACATTTGTGTACTGAGTTGCCAAGCCTTTGATTTGGAGTGATGCTGACGTTTTTCACTTTGTTGTGATAGAGACCAGTATCTAGTGAGCATAATAACAAAGTAATTTGTATTTGAAAATCAGCAATGTTGTATCATAACAAGGTCACCCTTAGCCACACTCCTGTTCAAAGGCTTGGGAACCAAGCACGCAACCGTAAAAATGAACTATTATATACCAATGTGATCAAGAAAATAATCTTTTTTTCCCACAGTTTAAAACCTTGACATAAAAAAAAAAATTGACAAAAATAATGCAATTTTGTCGTCATTAAGGCTTCAGTCTGTCAGAGAAATGGAAGATAATTCCGAGGAGGAAAAAGATCATATTAGCTATGACCATGGTGGTGCAAGTTCAGGTGATGTCATGAAAGTCATAGACTTCTATAATCGAGGAGACAAGCATGGAGAGGGTAACAGTTATGGCAATCTTGGCGATGCTTATTACAGGCTGGGTGATTTCGAAAAAGCCAAAGAGTACCACAACCTACATCTTCAAATAGCTAAAGAAGTGGGAGACAAGCATGGGGAGGGTAACGCTCATGGTAATCTTGGCAATGTATATTACAAGCTGGGTGATTTCGAAAAAGCCATAGAGTACCACAACCTACATCTTCAAATAGCTAAAGAAGTGGGAGACAAGCATGGGGAGGGTAACGCTCATGGTAATCTTGGCAATGTATATTACAGTCTGGGTGATTTCAAAAAAGCCATAGAGCACTACAACCTACATCTTAAAATAGCTAAAGAAGATGGGGACAAGCAGAGGGAGGGTAACGCCTATGGTAGCCTTGGCAATGTGTATCACAGTCTAGGTGATTTAAAAAAAGCCATTAAGTACCACAACCTATATCTTCAAATAGCTAAAGAAGTGGGAGACAAGCATGGGGAGGGTAACGCTCATGGTAATCTTAGCAATGTATATTACAGGCTGGGTGATTTTGAAAAAGCCATAGAGTACCACAACCTACATCTTCAAATAGCTAAAGAAGTAGGAGACAAGCATGGGGAGGGTAACGCTCATGGTAATCTTGGCAATGTATATTACAGTCTGGGTGATTTCAAAAAAGCCATAGAGCACTACAACCTACATCTTAAAATAGCTAAAGAAGATGGGGACAAGCAGAGGGAGGGTAACGCCTATGGTAGCCTTGGCAATGTGTATCACAGTCTAGGTGATTTAAAAAAAGCCATTAAGTACCACAACCTACATTGTAAAGTAGCAAAAGAAATAGGAGACAAGCATGGGGAGGGTAACGCTTATGGCAATCTTGGCAATGCTTATTACAGGCTAGGTGATTTCAAAAAAGCCATAGAGTACCATAACATAGATCTCAGAATAGCTAAAGAAGTAGGAGACAAGCATGGGGAGGGTACTACTTATGGCAATCTTGGCAGTGCTTATAGCAGTCTGGGTGATTTAAAGAAAGCCATAGAGTACAACAACCTACATCTTAAAATAGCTAAAGAAGTAGGAGACAAGCGAGGGGAGGGTGGTGCCTGTGGCAATCTTGGCAATGCATACTACGGGTTGGGTGATTTCAAAAAAGCCATAGAGTACCACAACGTACATCTTAAAGTAGCAAAAGAAGTAAGAGACAAGCATGGGGAGGGTAACGCTTATGGTAACCTTGGCAATACGTATCGGAGTCTGGGTGATTTCAAAAAAGCCATAGAAAATCATAACCTACATCTTAAAATAGGTAAGGAAGTAGGCGACAAGCATGGGGAGGGTAAAGCTTATGGAAATCTTGGCAATGTATATTGGAGTGTGGGTGATTTCAAAAAAGCCATAGAGTACCACAATCTACATCTTAAAATAGCTAAAGAAGTAGGAGACAAGCATGGGAAGGGTAACGCTTATGGCAATCTTGGTAATGCTTTTTACAGGCTGGGTGATTTCAAAAAAGCCATAGAGTACCACAACGTACATCTTAAAATAGCGAAAGAAGTAGGAGACAAGCATGGGGAGAGTAGTACTTATGGCAATCTTGGCAGTGCTTATGACAGTCTAGGTGATTTCGAAAAAGCCATAGAGTACCACAACCTTTATCTTGAAATAGCTAAAGAAGTAGGAAACAAAAAAGGGGAGGGTGGTGCTTATGGCAATCTTGGCAATGCTTATTACAGTCTGGGTGATCTCAAAAAAGCTTTAGAGTACTACAACCTAGATCTTAAGATAGCTAAAGAATTAGGAGACAAGCAAGGGGAGGGTGGTGCCTATGGTAATCTTGGGAATGTGTATCGAACTCTGGGAGATTTAATCAAGGCCAACAAGTCATACAAGCTAATGCTCAAAATTGCCGAAGAGGTCGAAGACAAATCCTTGGAGGCAACGGCCTACTATTCATTAGGATGCGTTTTTGAGTTGCTGGGTCGACTGCCAAAAGCTGTTGAACATTACCAAGCTAGCATAACCTTATACAATTCCTTGAGAGTACTTCTAGAATCTAAAGATGAATGGAAAGTTAACTTTCGAAATCAGTATCAAATGGCGTATACGGGTTTGTGGAGAGTTCTCGTAGAACAAGGTAATATAGATGAAGCGTTATTTGCTGCTGAGAAAGGACGAGCTCAGGCTCTGACCGACCTCATGGAATCCCGTTTTTGTTGTGGAACAAGTCAGCGCAAGGGAGGTGATGAAGATTTGGCCGTGTTAAAAAACGTTCCATCAAACACTGTCTTTCAGGCAGTGGTCAGAGCTAACGTCAGTCTTTGGGTTGTGACCGAAAGAAAACATGTTCAGTTAAGACAAAGTAAGCTCAATGGTTCTATTTCAGATAATAGTGGAGCCAGACAGTCCTTTGAGTCGTTCATGCACGATGTCTATACACAACTTGGTGTTCGTTCAAATGTGAAATGCGAGAATCGGTCTTTGGATGCTTTAAGGGAGAGCCGTTCAAAAGTTAATGAGAAAACTGAAGAAGACAACCCTCAGCCTTCCATTCAACAAAACGAATGCTTGAGCACTTTGTATGATGCCGTTATGAAGCCGGTGGCTGACCTGGTTGAAGGGGATGAGCTACTCATTATTCCCGATGGACCCCTGTGGCTCGTTCCTTACGCCGCATTCAAGGATGGTAATTCTAAATACCTGTGTGAATCGTTCAGAATTCGACTCGCTCCATCGTTAACAAGTCTTAGACTCATTGCTGATTGCCCAGATGATTATCACAAAAGCAGTGGTGCGTTACTTGTAGGAGATCCGTGGGTAGCCGAGGTTACTAACAGCAAGAGAGAGATACTCCTCGAGCAGCTTCCTTGTGCTAAAGAAGAAGTAGAAATGATCGGAAAAATTCTGAATATCACGCCAATCACGGGAAGACAGGCCACCAAACGTGAGGTGTTGAAAAGACTCAGTTCCGTTTCCTTAGTTCACTTTGCGGCACACGGATGTATGGAAACTGGCCAAATTGCTCTTACACCTGAACCAGACCGAAGATCTACTGTGCCAACGGAGGAGGATTACATTTTAACAATTGGAGATGTGTTGAATGTTCAACTTCGTGCCAAACTTGTTGTGCTTAGTTGCTGCCATAGTGGTCGGGGCGAGATCAAGGCTGAAGGTGTGGTTGGCATTGCACGCGCTTTTATGGGGGCTGGTGCTCGGTCTGTTGTGGTGTCCCTGTGGGCGATTGATGACGAGGCTACTCTCGAGTTCATGAAATGCTTTTATCAATACCTTGCAGAAGGTAAACCTGCAAGCGAGTCACTGAACCTGGCAATGAAAAGCCTTAGAGAATCAGACGAGTTCCGCGACATCAAATACTGGGCGCCCTTTTTACTGATTGGAGATGACGTTAGTCTTGATTTCATGGCATAGGAAAGATAAAATTTGAATGTAAAATCACTTAAAGGATTTTTTTCTCTCAAAAAGAATGACGCTGTAACTTGGAAGGTTTAAACGTTTCTCTGTTTGGCAATTTTTGGCTATTTTCATTACTTTTACTTTTCTGTTACATAGAACTTGAGACGTGTAACTTTTATTTGGCGAAAAAATAAAATAGACTATTTCATTTTATTTTGATAAGTGAAATTATCTATTTTGTCTTACTTTTACAAATTTAAATGCTTACGAAGAGAACGAAATGTAACAAGGCTTCTGTAACTAATGCTTGCAGTAGTTGAAGGCGATTACGAGGTTTTCGTTTTCGCGAAAATGAGACTCTGCTCTATTCCTGTATTACAATCAGTTTTATGGAAAACAATTTAAAAGTTTTTCTTGTACATAACCCAGACGTTTTCCACCGGGTTTTAATTACGTTTATACTCTAAGCTTTTGATAAGCAAAGAAACAGTTCGTCGTTTGCAAACGTTGGCGGAATTTTAATTTCAAAAATTTGATTTGCAAAATTTGCAGCAATATGCGTATTAAACTTGGGACTTTTCTAGGTCATAAATTACTTTGTTACAAATTGAGATTATCTTTACTAGAAAAATTGATTTTTTTAAGATCCATTTTAATGCAATCTAATTCTGTCAGTGCCAAGATTGTTATTCTAAACTTAATTTGAAGAAGTAAACATCAGAGATGATGGGCTACTGACCATAAGTTAGAGACATTAGACCTACTTCTAGTGTATTACTTTTGTGAGGAGAATTTAAATTATAATAAGTTTTGGGAGTAGATGGGTTCCTTTTAGTGTCTCCTCTTAGCGCGTACTTCACTTAAAGCCTTGCACAATTTAGAGCAGTTTTCATTGTACTTATTTTTTTTTGTTCTTTGCGTAAGAGAAATAAACAGGCTATAAAATACAAAAACTGCGTTGATTTTTATTGTCTCTCTTAAGGATGCAAGTAAGATGAAGAGGGAACAGATCCTTTGGGGACTGCAGTACTTGTTTTGAGCCGCGCGCGCCAAGCTGATGATCTTTGCGGCTGACTGTGTACTAACTCTCCATGTTTCAAGACCCCACCCACTAAACAAAGGCGCGTCGTCTCTTCGATTGTCATGTGTCTCTTCCACTGATTATCCATATTGTTACACGGTTTTGAACGCCGACGGACGTGTTCACACTGTTACATGTGTGCGGCTTTTTTACCTTTTTCCTTGCATAAGTTTTTACACTGTTTCACATATGCGCATCGCTTTTTCTCCTTCCCTTTTTCTCATCGTACCTTTTTTTTATATTTTATTTCTATAGCGCATTTTCCTAACGCCCAAATGCGCTTTACAGTATCAAATTATCATAAACTATAATTAAATAAAAATTTAAAGTCTAAAAATATGCTTGTCGAAAAAGATAGGTCCGAAGCTTAGCTTTAAAAATAGAGACAGATGCGCTCCTTTTAATCTCAAATGGAACCGAGTTCCAGAGGTAAGGCGCACACACTGAGAAAGCCCTCAGGCGAGTCAATTTGAGTTTGTGTGTTGGTTGCTCCAGTAGAAGTTGTTCAGCAGACCTGAGAGCTCGCCTAGGAACATAAGGACTGATGAGCTCAGTCAAGTACGTTGGAGCCGCACCATGGAGTGCCTTCAAGGTGTACAGTACGGACGGGGAGCCAGTGTAGCTCAATAAGTAGTGGTGTGATAAGATCAAGCTTTTGCTTGCAAGTGATCACTTTTGCCGCTGCGTTCATAACATATTGTAGTCTCTAAATAAGATAATCAGGTAGGCCATAAAGAAGCGAATTACAATGATCTAAGCGAGACATTACTAATACATGCACTAGTGTTTTGGTTGAGTCAATACCAAGGCATGGACTAATGTTTCTGATGTGATAAAAAGCAGTCTTGTATAGATTATTGACGTGTTCCTCGAAACTCATGGTATCGTCGAAGATGGCACCAATGTTCCGTGCGCTAGATTTTGGCTCGACAGTAGCATCACCCACATTAATCGAATCTAATGGTGGCTTAGGGCGATGTTTAGCATGCAGAACCAGGAGTTCAGTCTTGTCGTTGTTTCACCGGAGATTATTTAAAAGCATCCATTGGTTCAGCTCACGCAAACAAACTTCAACCCTAGTGTGCGCAGACACAACATCCTCCATTTTCGTGGTCTTCATGCTAAGGTACAGTTGAGTGTCGTCCGCGTACATATGAAACCCGACACCATGGCGACGCAGGATAGCTCCGAGAGGAGAGGTATAGACCAAATATAGGATTGGGCCCAACACAGACCCCTGGGGAAGACCGCAGGTCAGTTGACGAACCGAAGAACTAGTATCTCTGATTTGGACGAACTGTGAACGACTGGACAGGTAAGAATCAAACCAAGTGTAGGCAGAGCCCTGAACGCCAATGCACTGGGAGCGACGCGATAGCAGGATGCCATGATCCGCTGTGGCGAACGCTGCCGAAAGGTTCAACAGTACCAACATCACACACTTTCCATCATCCAGTGCACGTGGCGCATCGTTATGCACTCGCAACAGTGCTGCTTCAGTGTTATGGCCAACTTTATTAGCGGATTGGAAAATCTCTTCAAGTTTATTTTCTCGCAGATGGGAAATGAAATGACTCGCGACTATCTTCTCGCAGCACTTGGAGAGAAACATCAGGTTGGAAATCGGTCTTCGATTCTTATATAGTTGATAGTCAAGTGATGGTTTCTTGAGAGAGGGCCTGACAATGGCTCGTTTCATGTCTGAAGTCAGCGTCCAAAGTCCTTTCCTTTATTCCCATCTTTATTCGCACCTCTTTCATCGCCCTCAACATTAATCTTCTGCGCGCGTCATTGGACGCAACTATCTCCTTTCTGTTTCAGTTTTCATTCGTCTCAATCCCCGCGCAACGCCAGGCCTCTTTCAACTCATGTACCCCCTTACCCACCCCCCCCCAGGAGTAATTGTTGTCATGCCTAATTTGTCCACATTAAGATGGTGTCCTCTTAAAGTCATTGTGAAAAAACAGAGCACGAATCTTACAACTGAACCTTGCAAACCTCAAGAATTGAACCTTGCAAACCTTAAGAACTCAACATTGCGAACATTTATGCTATTTTTTAATTAGAACCCGGCATGGAACCGAATACTGTTTATCTTATCAGAGGGCGTGTTTATTGACACACGCATAGCGTTTATGTACCAGAATTGAGTTTAAGCCTTCGAGAGAAGTTGTTGTCCACTAGTCCGGATGGTTTTTTTGGACGAGCCAGAGCCTTAGAATCTTTTAAATCTAATTCTAGGAGGATATAGCAAATAAAAACCTTAACAGTCATCTCTTGTAAAATCTCAGTTTTCCTTTCGCTTGACTCCCAGTCCACAGTGGTTAGGCGCTAGTGTTTCTCTCCTTGGTCCTCTCGTTACAGTTGCAGTTATAAAGCGGGAGAGCTCCCCCCTTCCTCCTCTCCCCTCCCCTCAATAGCACTATACATCCCTCTGCTGCAACTTTTACATCTAACCTCTCCCCGCCCTTCTTGTATCCTCGCGTGTTCGCGCGATTTATGCATTTACTCGTTTTTACTTTGAAGTCGTATCTGTTTTTTCAAATAATTTCCTCTCCTCTGATTGGCCGATATAATAACTTTGGCTTTTGTTTCATGGCACTTAATCGAAATGCACTATTGGTAACTCTATTTCTTTCTCCCCATGCGAACGACAGAGAAAATGGCTTTAACGATTTGTAAATAGCCTGTTCCCCATCGATCCGGTTAGGAAAGCACATGGCATGATATTCGGGTTTTCGTATCTCAGGCGAAATAGTTGCTACTTGTTATGTGTCCCTTAAACATACAAACGGGTTTAAGTCCTGATAATCCAATTCCATCTAATTTTTATTACTGAGACTCAGTACTTTAATTTTTAATTGCTTGCTCTCTTTGTTACGTACATGTTCAAATGTAGCCTATTCAGTGTTTAAAATAATAAAAGGTGAGGTCGGTTCAAAGGTTTTGCGCATCCTCAATCCACTTATTTACTTTGCTCAATCAAATTGAAGAGCGCTTAACTCCAGGACGCGCCATGAATATTCGTTTCAATCAAGAGACTCTCAGGTGTGAATCATCGTTTATTACTCTTGAAGTCGCCAGAAGAATGTGGATAGTCTTTGAAGGAGAGAATCAAAGCTCTAGCGATGAAAATGAGTTGCTCCTAACCTAACCTGAACTGATTAACAACGATCTATACATTCAATATTTCACCCACTCATATCATAAAGCAATAAAAAATATGTATATCTTCGCCGTAATTAGAAATGAAAAGAAGTATATGGACAGTTGCACTGCTTGCAGTTATTCGGACAAAAACCCAACTAAACATGCTTAAGTAAATATGCTTATCAGCTTTAGATTGTTATTTTGATCAAAAACCAAATTCTCCAAAATGATATATAAGAAAGTGTAAAGTAGCTTGAAAGGAGAATTGCTGTAGGGTGTTTCACGTCAAAGCGCCATGGTGGCGTATTCATTTTACAGACACATCAAAGCCGAAGTCAAATTGTTTAAAAGCAAATCTTCAACTCTTTGTTAGATTATTTGGATTTTAAATCTTCAAACAGGAAAGTCTAGAAATTTGCGTGCGAACTGTTTCATTTTCTACTGTGACGCTTGCGACTAAAGACGAAGGGGTGTCGTTAAGGCGTGTTTGCTAAGTGTCGCTGATGTCGGGACTATTTTACAGGTCGTAGTAAAACCACGAAAACCAAGATGACGGTTAACGGTGTTTATTGAGATCACGAAGACAAAGACGAAGACGATCACAAAGACGATCACGATCGTAAACTGAAATTACAATAACATTATAACGAATGCATTAATCTACTTGAATTGGTGCGAAAGGCATGAAAGAAACGCTTTACGTGCCTATATCGATAACGCGATTAAAATAACAACAATTAAGTAAATTAACATAAACAAATCATAAAAGGCTAAATTAAAACTA